ATATATATATATATATATATATATATATATATACTAGATGAGTTTACGCCGTGCACGCACGGCGGTCTAACACCCAGTGTAAGCAAATTCGAGACACTACGCGACAAGCTTGAAATTATCCAAATAAGAATTAAGAGGGAGTGTTAAGTTTAATGCTCATTAACTAAATAAAATATATGTACTACAAGATTATTCTAGAATTACTATTAGTGTAATTAAAAAATAGTTGAAATTATATTAGTTGGTTGTTGAACTACCTACCATAATTATCACCGACCTATGAACTATGATGTGTATATATATGTAATGAAGCTCATAAAGTTTATGTAGAAAAAAAATAAGAAATTAAGAAAACCAATTCTCTTCCACTATAATTTGTTTCCCTATATTATTACATCTCTTCTCATATAATTAAACATTAATATTTATTTAATAAATATTGTTAGTTTTGATACTAACAAATGTAAAGAAAAGCCATATAATAAGCATATATATGGATCGCCGTGTGCACTTTTAATGTCTAAAGATGCAGTACAGATAGGTTACCAACATGGATCTACAAACAGAGTTAATTATGCCATGATAGCAACTAAAATCAAGTAATGCCAAAAAACATCATCTATGCAATAATTCCATCACTTCTAAAATTGTTCAAAATTTGAACCGACATATAGTAACGATTCAGAAGGCAAAATTTCAAAAATGGTCCATTATGTTGGCCATTTTCCGAAAAAGGTCCATCATATAGGGTGTCATCAATAATGGTCCACTAAATTGTCACTTTTAATCAAAACTCGTACAATTGCCAACATAGTGTACAAGTTTTGATTAAAAGTGACAATTTAGTGGACCATTATCGATGACACCCTATATGATGAACCTTTTTTCGGAAAATGGCCAACATAATGGACTAAAAATGAAATTTAGCCCGATTCAGAAAGACATATGCTCCTTAAAAGCCAAGCCCGTAATGATCATCGCAATCTTTTTAAATAGATAATCAAAGCAAGGTAAGAACACCTCTACTGAAAATCAACAACCAAACATACTATTTCAAGCGGATAACCACTGGAAAAATCTCAAATTCACTTAATTCTGTAAGTCCCTAAGTTATCAAAAGTCGTAATCCGAGAAACCCAAACCAATATTAAGTAAAAAAAAAAAAAATTATCTTTTTCTCCTCAGATAAAGCGCCAGAGGTTGCTTCTTCCCGGCAGCAGCCACGGGGGGATATCGAGCTAAAGTGACGCCGCTTCTTGTCAGCCTCACCTGGTGATGTGGCCGTCGGAGTCGCCGACGTAGAAGTCTTTGCCGGCGAGTTTGACAAAAAATCGGTGAGAGGAAATGAAATCTGAGGGGAGAGGAGAACTCCACGGGGTGAGGGTGCAAGGTTCCAGAGAAGTATGAACAATATCTTTCTTCAATTTTTTTATGCCGGTCGTGTGTGTGGAAAAACGGGAAAAGTAGTTGTCATGTACAAATCAAATGACCATAACGTTGAAAGCAGGTGTAAATATACAAATTTGATATTAGCAAATCCACTTATTGAAAATCTCATTTACTGACCTTGATTTTTGCGAGCATCAGCTTGAACCGGTCGAAGTCATTGAGGGTGGCCCTTCTCTTTTGAACAATGAGTTTCCTACCCCAAGAGCTCTTTTCCCATTTTTTCTTGACATCTGCAAAAAACATCATAAAGAAAATAAGCAATCTTCACTATAGACGAATTCAAAAGGTAGAGTAAGTTTTTCTATTTCCAAAGTGAAATACATACCAACAGCTCCCATAGCAGCTATCAGAGTCTTTTTCTTCGGGATCCTTTTGATATCAATCTTGATATCCGTAAGAGAAAGCCTCTTGAAGTTCATCTGGCTTCTTACCATATCGGGGGCATCTATAAGAGCTTAAAGCAAGACATACAAATTATTGAACAAAAACTATCATAACAAATCAAACGAACCACTATAAACATTACAGAAGTTCAAACACACGGTATATCTACAACTGCATGAGCAAGGGCCTCCAACTATATATAGCAGAAGCACCAAATGTCTTAATCGCGTCAACATTGAAAACGGGGCAATGATATATTGCAAATGCGAACTCATAACTCCGAATTCTACTCATTTGCAGCATTCAATACCAACAAACGCAAATGTATCTCACATAATCAGACTACTGTAAAGATCCACCCCAATACAATGTTTCAAAAGCTAAGGGAAACAAAGAAAACCCACTGGGAGAACAAACAATAACCAATTTATAGCTTTAATCAAGAGCGTGAAACATAAACTTAGTCCAAATTAAGGACAAACCTAAACCAAGGGAGCTAAAGAAGACATTCAATCAACATAGCTACGATAACACATATAGAAAACAAATTCTATCTCTGATCCTGAGCATGAAACATAAGCAAATTCCAAAACTAAGCACAAATCTCGACCAAAGGAGCCAAAAGAAGACAATCAATCAGCAAAATACAAAAATCAGCTCATCACACTGAATACCTGAAATCCACGGTAGTGATGTAGGCTCACTCCTCGAATGGGAAGCGAAAAACATGAAGGGCTAGTTTTTCTCTTAATATACTTCATACTCTTACTCTCTACTGAGAAGTTAAGCAAGTACAAAATAATTTTAATCATTACTAATTTTGAATTGAATAAAAAATGAACAAAGGAATAAGCATCGTAGCCATTACAGACCGAAAACTCTTCCTCAATAGATTGTTGGCATGAGACGACACAGACCTACAAATTTTCATCATAAACCTCAAATTAACATAATCCATTTCGCTAATTAGACACGACGACAACTCAACAAAACTAAGTAATATGGAAAACGAACAGAAGAGGTGCTGCACAACGTCAAGAGTAGCCAAAATACCCTCAAAGCCTTGAGAAAATATATGAACCACCTATATCTGGGAGAAGCCCCAAAGATGTTCCGAGGCCCGAGCATTGCAAAAATCTGAAAAAAAAAAAAGGTTAATGGCAAGGATCAAGAAACCAAAGAGTGCGCTTATCAACTCACACACACATATGCTCAGAAGCTGAAGAAGGAGAGCACTTCAACAGTTAAATGTGCACTTCAATTCTAGATTGTCGACTTATAATCCATAATCAGATTTGAACATAACAAATGAAAGAAATGAAAAGCCTAAAAAAAAAATGCACCTGTGAAGAATCAGCCACCTGAGCCAAAAGCTGGTAGATCGAAGTCTTGAGTTCTTTTCTTTTGTACTATAAAGAGTTGGCCTTTGTTAAGAAGAAAATGAAGTTCCCGACGTAAATAAATTTGAGACAAAAATAGAGGTTAGACCTAACTCAATAACAATAGTTGCCCTAAATTGAAATTTTTCTATGCCTTAATAGATATATTTAAAATATATATATATATATATATATATATATATGGGGTACCTCTTTGTGCACTGGCAGAGCAAAGAGTCGGTCGGAGGTCTTGCCGGAGTACAAAGCCAGCGTTGGAATTGTGGGCGGTGACCCGCCTTTCCCGACCGACACGCTGTCTTCATTCCAACAAGATCCTAAAATGAAGCCAAAACCAAAAATCCCAATAGAAAACAACACATCAAATTTTCCATAAACAAAACAATCATTGGACCCAAATCATCAGTTCACTTTTAACAAACAATTAGAACCAAACCTCCAAAGTTTTCCATAGTTTCAGCCTCTAAAACAAACTCGACCGAACAACAATTCAAAGCCCTGATTTTATAGTCGAACTCAGAAATCAAAACGCAGCTCAACTATTTTTGGAGTTCCAGGACCTTGACCGGAGTTCTCATCCCTATGCCTGACCAAATTACCTTTAGGCTTCAACCCACAACCGCCATTAATACCTGTTTAGTATAGATTTGGTGGGCAAGGGATAACCGAGTTACCCGACTCGGGTCGATCTCGAAGGAAGGCTATTCGGAGCTTTGTCTACTAAATAATCATCCAAATCACAAAAAGGGAAAATAAAATCCCAAACATTCTAAGCAATTGATTGGAAGGGTGATTAACACTAATCGAGCACTTAAAAGCGAGCAATTAATTAAAAGCAAGATAGAATGACGAGCAATTAGCAAACTAGATCACCGGAGTCTCATGCCATAACCATAACGGGATGATAATCAATCGACATAAGGAGTAAAAGCTACGAGCATTAGATTGCTGACCCTAGTCGTCTAACCGAGATCAACGAGAAATTAACGACTCTATCTACTCAAGCAAGCAATCAAGCATAAGCATTTCTTCCATCATCAATCAAATCCAAATTTACCCTAATAAGCATTATAAGTAAAAACGGAGCAAAAACCGAAGTAAAGAGTTTTAAAACTAAATATTCATTCTTCCATTGCGTAGACGATGAAAAACAGAGTCAAAAGCTCGAAACTTGAAAGAAACCGAAGTCGCCGGAAAATCTCCCGGAAAATGACATAAGCTCCTAATCTATAGAGCAAAAATAAAACATAAGCTAATTTCCCAAAGTGGGAAAAGTGAAAAATGAGAGTTGGATTTGGCAGGGCACGAACTTGATTTGGGCTAGCCAACACTTTGGGGCTGAAATTGGCCATCTTGTTTCGCTGGCGAAATGGTTTTCGCGAGCCGCGACTATGGATTTGCAGGGCGCGAATTGGGTTTCGCATGCGAAAATTCAAATCCTTCTCTTTCCTTAGCAAAAATTCAGCACTTACCCATATTTTGACAATTTTCGCTCAAAATTCTCGAATCAACTTACAAACACTATAAAAACTTGATTTCGCTCATTTTTTTTTGGGCTCGTTAATTGCTCGAAAATGGCGCGAACGAATCGTCTTCCCAAAGTTACAGTTTGGACCTAAACAAAACACCAAAAGAAACGCGAAAATACGACAAAATACAAAAACACAAAATAAAAACGAAAACACATAAAATGCGACAAAATGGACCGGTAGACACTCAAACGAACCTAATAACGACTCGGCTAACACATAAAACACAAGAAAAATAAGCACAAAAACATAACAAACAACTCCCCCACACTTAGCTTTTTGTTTGTCCTCAAGCAAACAAAATAACAAATAGCTCGAAGAGATATATCGAATGGGCCAAAATTAACGAACATGCAAAATGAAACTCTCATTATCATCCGGTTGTCCCAGAATTAAAATCCAATCCGAGACACGGTTCCCACATAATGAATCAAACGAAACAAAAACTCGTCCCAATTCATTTCACAAATGATTGCTCGAGTCGAACTCCCTCATTCACATATACGTGCAAAAACCATAAATGATCTATAAAGCATAAAATAATAAGCACGAGATCAATAGGCCAACTCCCCGATTTTCTTCTTTTTCTTCTCTTTTTTTATTTTTATTTATTTTATTTTATTTTATTTTTTTAAATGAGCCACTTTTTCCAAATGAAAGCCGTTAGGACGATTATTACCTAGGTTTAACCTCGGGGGTTATTCCCGAGTCGCCTAGGCCGGTTTCCCGTGCTCATTGACCCGATCTATCTAAAAGATTAACCGAGCCAAGATGAGCCTAATTCTTTCGACTCCCACGAACTCATTTCGTGAGCTTCTTTTTCCAAACAAGATTTCCGGACGAGATGATCTAGGTTTAACCTCGAGGGGTTTCCCCGAGTTTTCTAAACCGGTTTCCCGGGCTCATTATCCCAATCCACGAATGGCTCGAAATAAGAGGAGCCTAATCCGTACTTCCTCGCGAACTCACTTTTTATTCTTCTTCTTTTTTTTTTCTTTTTAGGGAGAGGCACACAAGGATACATCACAATTACAATACATAATCATCTCAACTCGATCGAAATGTACCACAAGTGTATAGATAACACTTTTACAACGATAATCGAACATAAGGTAAGCATGCCTCAAGACAACCAATCGAGAACAAACAAAGGACAAAACAATTCCGTTAATCCACATGCGAGTTCCAATGTCAACGAATCATCAATCAATCAAAGGAAACCGTCAAATTCATCAAGTACATCAAGCATGAATGCTAATAGTGAAACCAATCAATAATCTCGACTCACCACTTAGCTATCTCGACTCTTGAACAAACATCAAGTTTCATGCGGGAGAAATGACACAAACACACAAAAACTCAAATAAAACCGGTCCACGACACGAAAAATAAGACACCAAAACGAAGAAAATACCACCTAAACATACGTAATCATGAATATCCCTCCTCCACACTTAAAACAAAGCAATGTCCTCATTGCTTGACCAAAAAGCATAGTATCGAGCACACAATCACACAAGTTTATGCGAAAAACAAAACGAAACTCAATAAACGAGCACACGAAAGGAAAACAAACACAAGAACACACAAGAAACAACTAAAGAAAAAGAAAATAGGAAAAGAAAATGCATACTCTACACGGTGGTGCACCACCGTGTGTATAATGGTGTTCGTCCGGTGGGAATAGAGAAAATAATCCAAAAGCCATCGAGCTCAAAATGAAGCCCTCCGAACGGTTGGGCATTGAACCAATAAAATCATACGGGCCATATATATGTGTCTCGGAGAAATGATATCCGTGCTTCCATGAACTCGACGAAGACACACGTATACGTTAAAGCTCAAAATATCGGGCATATAATATGCAAAATGTAAGAGAGTCCCGTTCTTCGGTACCGAATGAAGGCCACTTGTATGCATTTTGGAGAAATAATAACCGTAATTCCATAAACTCGACGAAAATGCACTTATGCGTGAAAGCTCAGAATATTGGGCCACGGGGTTGTTAATGATACGCGCAATAATATAACACAACCAACTCCTCTTTTGAATCAACGCACGAATCGATTACCGGCGCTTGCCGTAAGTAGAAACCTACAAACTCAAAAGTCCGGCAACAACACGAAAATTGGCACGCCCGGCACGACGTGCCTATCACACAAGTCTAACCCACATAATGTATCACGACTACTCCGGCAAGAGTAGTAATCAAGCACAACGAAGACAATGCAAATACGAAAATACAAAGCAAGTTCGGGGCGTTGTACCTTGAAAAACGTCGAGAAAAACAGTTGTCGGAGTGTATAAGTAGAGAGATAGGTGAAAATGAAGCTCCGGTCCGGAAAATGCACCCAACGATAGGAATCGATAGTATATGATAAGAAAAGCTCAAAAATACTAACCGGAAGCTCGGTGTCATTCGCCGAAAAAAAATGGTCGGCGGAAAAGTTCGCCGGATTCCGGCGACGGTGGCCGGAAAAGGTGCGCCTCGCGAGAGGAGTCCGGGAGTGGTCTCGGATTTTTGAAACTCCAAGTGAGTCGCCGGC